TTTATCTTAAATCTATTAGTTCCTTTTCCCTCCAAAGCTTTTTCCCTCCTTTTCCCTCACCGTTTACCCCTGTGCAATGTATACTGCTAGAAAATCAGGACCAACCACAGCAAGCCCATGACTGCCCTCAGCAGAGTCAATAAATGGCACATTCGACTCTCTCTCATACCATTTTGAACCAAGTCCTCACACAACTTCTGCCCTGACACCTCATCCATCAGCTCTTAAAGCACAAGAGCAGCACCCCACAAGCAAACCTCTTCTTTCCTACACCACCTCCAGAGCTGAGGCCCAGATGAGAAACAGCCTTATCTTCCTTATATATTAGTATAGCAAGGATACACTTCTAAGATCAGACCTTGGCAATTTGACCTAAAACCATCCTTACTTGCAAAACAATGTCTCCATCATCTTCAGAGCAAGAAGGAAAGAGAGTGAGAGGGAAAACAGGGGTGGGGGTAGGGGAGGAAAGTCCAGTCCTCTCTGACCTGATTGGAAACTTTGTTGTGGTAAAAGAAAAAAAAAAATCTCTTTGGCCAGTTGAGAAACTGCCTATGGTTGCTCTTGTATTGGGAGGGTCTGTTCAGGGTTTCTCAATCTTCTTTTCTCTCTCTCTCCCCCCTCTCTTTCTCCCCTTCTCTTGTTTCAAAAGGGGCCTCTGGTCAGCGCTGATTAATAAGTGTTTTTTGTTGTGAAGTGTTGAATAATAGAAGATGGCCAGTGACCCAGGAAAGACTAAACCTTGTGCTACTTTATTGTGGCAAGCTGAGAAAGGGGCTTTAGGACAGAGACCCCAAGCACTGACCCGCACACATCCTGCGGATTCCCTATTCATTCTCACAGCCTTCCAGTCGCCCAGAGCTCCCATTGTTTGCCAAGCAACAATGGAGATTTTGCACAGAAAGTAAAGCTCTCTTCAGATTCCTCCCTGTTGTTTTGCATTTGGGGAAACAACCATCTTTAACAGGTTTTCTTTCCCTAAACTGAATTTCACAAAAACTCCTAGGACTTGGGCTTTTATTCTCATTGCTCGAGACTTCCTATACAAACCTAAGAAAACAAACATTTTGTCTTAATAAATGCTTTTTTTGTTTGTTTGTTTTTAATTGCACAACACATTTTTCCTGGAGTACTGCTACCCTAGTGATTTAAGGGGAAAACAGAGGTTTCTTTTATTTCTTAGCATGTTACTATGGTCTAATGCACACTACATATCATATTATTTCTAAAAATAAATGCATTGAAGCAGTCGCTGTTTGAGTGGGAGCCAACTGGAGAGTGCTGCTTCTTTCAAAAAAAAAAAAATTAAAGCAGAAGATTGAAATATCTTGGGTTTTTTCTGCCCTGATTAGGCAAGCATAGCTTTTATCTCCTCAAAGGTTGGCCCTTTCCCCACACTCCTAACAAAGAGTTCATTCGCAGCCACCAAGGAGGGCACATGCCATTCCATAGTCTTGCTCTGATTTACCTGTAGGGTCCAAACCACATTTCTCATTCCAGCCTAGGCATTTATTTGCTCTCTAAACATGTGGATAAATAACTCTTGCATCTGTTGAACCTCTGGATAGGAGCAGAGTTAGAGGGATCAAAGGCCTCAGGATCGCAGAGGTTTTTAAATTGCCTTCTCTGGCCTGTTATACATGAATTTCCATTCTTCTGAGGTATCCATTTACACATCACCAAGTGTCTAGGTTAGGGTGTTTGGTTGTGCCTTGCATTTGCAGGTTTTGTGTCTTCTTGTAAATTTATTATGCATTAAAAAAAACAAACAAATGAAAAAACCCAACAAGAGGAGACGAATGTTGCAATCAATAGGACAAATTTCTGTTAAACTGCTAAGAATGGGATTTCTTCTCCCTCAGTTATTTGAATCTATAACCGACTGACCATTTTTATCAGGACCATTGCCTTCTCTCGGCGTTTACACCTGAATAGGGAGGTCTAGAAATCCACCCTTTGGAGGTGAGGAAGAAAAGACCAGTCTGTCAGAGAAACCTTTAACAACTGAAGGGGGAACAACAGTCTTTATTAAGGATATTGGGTAACAGAATTACCTTGGCGGGGGCGGGAGGCGTTGTAAAACATCCATTTGCAAAAGGCTCTCAGGCTGAAACCCTTTCATCGGTGGCGAGGGGAGGGGGGAGGCAGGGCGGGGGCTCGCAAACCCCCAGCTATCTCCATTTGTCAGCGCCACAGAGGAGGGGTCGTAAAGCCAGCGGTGCGGAGGGGTGGCTGCCCGGTGGTCCGCAGCCCCGCGCAGCCGGCGGCCGCTGCCCGGAGCGGGACGCGGCTGCGAGCGCCGAGCGCGGCGGGCTCGGCCCGGGGCGGCGCGGAGCGGGGGACCCCGGCCTTTCACTTTCGTACCCACCGCATCAGCCTTAGCAAGGGGGAAGTGGGGGGAGGAGAGGAGGGAGGGAAGGCAAGCGCCCTGCTGTATTGTTCCCCTGCCGAATTGATATGCTAATTCCCCTTGTGAGGGCATCACAAAGAACACCTTGCACTTCTGAAAGACTTTTGTGTCCTGGACGGAGAAGTTTATTATCAACTAATTAGCAACAACTTCTAGCAATGAGTTGGGTTACATTTTCATAAGCTTTGAACAAACATCCTGAGCTGCGTTGTGTCAGGATGATGGGCTTGCTAAGGAAAATAGAGTCCTAAATAAGGGAACGAGCTTTAATAATTAGCGCCTGCTATATACGGAGCCTCTGTCGACGTAAATCTTCTTCCGCGGCTTTTGATTCACGTTGCTCCCAGGATTGCAAAGGACCATGACAGGCATTCTACAAAACAAAATCTTACTCAGGAATGACTAGCCATTTTCCCCCTCATATTAAGACTCTTTTCTTACAACCAAAGAGCATTTTAGACTACCTCGATAACTCACCGAGGATAATCAGTGCAATTAAGAAGATCTGTACAATTAAGCATATTCATATTAAACACTATTTTGAGAGGCTTGTTGTAGTCAGTCTAGCACTTTGAACATAAAAATGGTCTGGGAAAATGAAACGGCATATTTGAAATTACAAAAAGAAAACTTCTTTAAATTTCACATGTTTTCTATTTGTTGTGGTGGTGTTTGTTGGGGGTTTTGACATTTCTTCTTTATTTGGTTTGGTTTTTAATTCTGTATTACTCTTCTTATAGCTTTTCCACAGAAGGAGGGCTAGGTCTCAGTACTAGGGTAGCTCAGTTCTCTTATTGCAGACTTTCTGTATGTTTGGAAACAAAATTATATGCTGTTTCTTGGTTGAAAGTGAAACTAGGAAAACCAAGAGGACATTACTTATATCACTGTAGCAAGCACTAGTTATTTTCTGCTTGGCTTTATGCAACCAAAATAGAGCAGAAACAATCTTCTGAATATAGGCACGTTCTATGGTTTACTGATTGACTGGAATTCTTATTGACTGGAAACAACGTACTTACAGCTTCACATTATGCTGTCGGGTTTTGGCTTTTGAGGTGTGTGATGTGGTGGGGGAGTGTCATATTGCAGTTCAAGTCAGCACTAGGTTGATTTTGCAGTTTAAACATGGATTTCCAGTATGGCTTCCTAAACCTGCCCTGGTCTTGAGGAGACCACTGAGGCGGCTACAAGCCTTGGGCCCATATTGAGATGCAGAAAAAAGCAGATCGGCCCTGGCTGCTTTTGCAATTCACCTTATCCTCTCCTATTCAGTTCATTCAATGGGCAAACACACTCTCCATCACTCGGTCTCTTTCTGTCCCCTTCCCCAAGCAAATTCATTTGTTTAAAATCCTAAAAGGCGGTATAAGGTCTTATTGAAACCCAGCAACGTTAAGGGGTGGGAGTGGATTAGATTCCTTCATTTCCTTTTGGTAATCCTAAATGCAGCTATCTCTGGTTCCGTAATCTCCTCTAGAGTCGGATTACCACCCATTTGAGCAAGTGCAGCTGGAATTAGGGGATGACAAGCATGCAAAGAAAGTGCCAAGAACTCCTGAGGTGACAGAGATACCGGTGTGGCTCTGGCCACCCCGCAGCACCCTGGTGTCCCCCAGGAGAGGCCGGGCGGTGGCGTGAGGTGATGGGGGCGGCCCTGGGCAGGGCAGTGCCCACCGGCCCCCGGCGCAGACCGGCCTTTCTTCTCGCGGGGGCTCCGCAACGCAAGGGCCACCGCTGGGTCGCTTTGGTGTTTCATTTGCCTCGTGACAGGCTTCTGCCAGCCCTGCGGCTTTCTGACGAGCCACATTGCCGTACACAAATATGTAGTTATATGTATATATATATATACATATAGATATATATATATAGAGAGAGAGAGAGAGAGAGACACATGCATATACATGAATGGATGTTCCTGCATCCACTAGAAGAAAGAATAAACATAAAATAGGCAATAAAATGCGGAGTGAGTACAACCTTGTTTATGCTTATCTCTGTCCACCTGGAAAAAGTAACCCTGCACGAAAACACACGTTTGTGTGTGCGGTCATATTTTGAAACAATCTCTCATATTTGATTAAAAATATGCCACTGTGTATATCTAAGATTAAAGCTTTACTTTTAGAGGCCTATAATCCTTTCAAGGAGGTTTTGTTGATATAAGACTTCATTGGAAAGTAATTGTGGATTGTATAGATCTGACCTTTACAGAAAGCAGGGTGTGGGTCTGTACAGATGAGAAATACTGTGCATCAATTTCTTGTGATGCCCCTGCAGACCAACTAAGCATGTATACAAGTTCAAGAATTTATTTAAAAGGTTACAATTAGTGGTTCAGTGGTCAAAGTTAGGGACGTGGTATTTTTATACTAACTGAAATACACTATTTAAATATACTTTTTAAATAAATAAGTAAAAAAGCATAAGGCCAGGCCTTCTACACAAATTGGAGGCAGCTAAATGCTCTTTTGTGCCTGCAGCTCTAAGGAGGCTGTGATGCATGTGAAGGAAAGTGACTGACTTAACTCATTGGGATTCAGGGAACGGCCTGCCCTCTTTTGAAAAAAAAAAAAAAAAAAAAAAAAAAAGCAAGAAGAAGAAGAAGAAAAGTAAGTGTGTATGTGTGTGTGTGGGTGCGTATTCGTGTTCGTGTATGTGTGTGTGTGTGACAGAGAGAGAGAGGAAGAGAGAGAGAAGAGGGGGAGATTCAGAGTCTTGCTTTCCTGAGCTGAGAGCTGCTGGTTCCCAAGCAGAAAGTATTAGGAGAAACACGGCTTCTTGTGTCTTTGCTGCATTTACACAATGAAATCACTTCTATTTTTATTCCTGCTTACCGGCCGGTTTTGCTTGAATCCACTCCGAGCCATGGACGACGGGAACAAAAAAAAAAAAAAGTACTTAAAAACAACTAGGCAAAAAAAAAAAAAAAGGAGGGAAAGAAAATCCTAACAAACCCAACCACGCTGGGATGAGGATTACTCACTTTAGCGCTGCCTGTAAGTACAAAGTCTCTTGCTGCATTTCAGGGCGACAATGACAGGCTGTTGTTTAGGTAGGGGTTGCTCGGGTTTGTTTTGATTCTTTGTTTTCTCCCTCCTTTTTTCTTTTTTCTTTTTTCCTTAAATATGTCATCCTCTCTTTTTCTATGTCTTCTGCCGGTTTGCTAAAATAAGAAAATAAAAGCGGGAGAGGGAGAGAGGCGGGCGGCTGAGCAGAGCGCGGTGCGGCAGCAGGGCAGCAGTCGGGGGTGCGGGGCTCCGCGGGCGCGGAGGAACGCCAGGTGCCGGCAGTGAGAAGGACAGAGCGCTGTTTTCAACATCAGTTTGTGGGCTTCAATGAAATGAATTTTTTTTTTTTTTTTTTTTTGGCCCGGGAATATGCATGCCTGTGTGTGTACATACACATACATCCCCAGGCAGCGTGGTCTGCCTGGGTCTCTGTAGTGCAACTTGAGTCCGCCCAGCTCGAAGGAATGCGGTGGTCAAAACAGCTTTCCAGCTGTTTTGTTTTTTGGGATTCCAACCCACCTCCCCCCCCCCCACCCCCGCCCCCACCACAGACACACTCCCCAAGTGTACATGTGATGGTGCTACTTTTCCGTGACAGGATTTGCTTAAAATAAACTAAGACCAAAACTGTCTCTCTCTCGCCTAGCCTAGTCGCTTTTCTCCCCCTCCTTTTCCTCCTTTTTTTCTTTATTTCTTTGAGAGCGCTCCTGGGAAAGCGGATCGGATAGAGGGGAAGGCTTTTGAAATCGTGGGGGAAAATGTAAGAGAATTCAGAGGGTCCGGGCTTTCTTTGTGTGGTGCTGAAGCCGCGGAGCTGCTTTGTGCTTTGGAAGGAGAAAATGGCGAGTCCTATTGTGTTTAGGCCATTTTCTTCCGGTACAAGGGTTTCCCCCCAAATCCTAAATACTTCAGGGCTCTTTTGAAAGAAATCTCCCAGCCTACGAAGTGTGAATGGCCTCAGCTCTGCCTTTTCCCCAGCCGGTAGCACACACATCACATTCTAGAGAGCCCATACATTTCTCCTTGCAGGGCTAGTGCACAATTTCTAAGGCTGCTGCATTCAGAGCCTCTTGCAGCGTAGGGGCTATTTCAGCTGTTCTTCGCCTGAGTTATTCAACTCGGGGGAGCAGGTTATGAGAGAAAAGGGAGGACTGAAGAAATAATATTTCGAGACCTGTTTTTGCTTTTAAATGCTAAGGAACAGGGTTAGCAAATTTTGTGTGTGTGTGTGTGCGTGTGTGTGTGTGCGTGTGTGTGTGATCTGAGAAAAGACTTCTCAACGGCGACGCCTGACTTTTACACTAAATTATTTAAAGTTTATGTATATATACATGTATGTGTAGGTGAGAGAGTGTGTATGTCTGCGCATGCATATAGCTGGGTAGCAAGATCTTTTCTTTAGGACCAGAAAGAGGCCATATATATATGCAAAGTGATATTTTAGAGGAAATTTAACCACTGTGTGCAAGTTATTCCTGCTGCAACTTCTAATGAAAAAAAAAAAAAAATTGCAATGTTGTCAGTTCTTTTCAGGTCATCCCGTAGGTAGGTACCGGTTACTAAAAACCGCATCTGAATTTGCACGTTAATCCATTTAAGGAAACAAATGAGAACCCGAGGTTTAAAGACTGTTGTCCAATATTAACCACTTTATATTAGAATGTGGGTTTGCCCAGGCGCCAGTGATTAAAAGCTCTTTGAAAAAGGAGAGCTAACAAATAAAGCCCTAGAAAGGTAAATCCTCACTATCAACGCCACCTCCTTCCAAGGTGCTGAATTTGAAAAAAAAAAAAAAAAAAAAAAGTATCAATAGTAATAACAATAATAACAACAACAAAAAAAATCAGAGGTGTTGATGGAAGTGCGGCGGAGGGGTGGCAGGCTCCCGGCCCCGCGGCGGCGGCGGGCCGCTCTGCGCGGAGGGGCGCGCAGGGCCATCGGCACGGCCGCCGGAGCAGCGCCCGCTGCCGCCGGCGGGTCAGGACCATGGACAGGGACCGGGCGAGGATGGAGCCGGCTGGTGTCACCCCGGGAAAGGGGAGTGAGCGGGGCTGTCGGCCCCCACGGAACGCCGGGGCCTCGAGCAGCTCTGTCTTTCTTGTTATCCCTCTCGTGTGCCTGCTCAAGATTCTAGGCAAAAGACTTGAGAAATTACATTTATAATTCTCCTGCAGGAAAGCAAGCTCTGTTAAAATGCCACGCCAGTGATTTCTCTTCTTACTGCTCGCAAAAGAAGTAAAAGGATCTCTCTATTCTGCATACGATTGCTTTTTCCCTTCAACTCCGAGCCAAAAATAAATCTACTGCTCGGATCGGCTGAATGACAGTGGTGTAAATTAAATTGATTTTATCAGTGACCGAGTTCCACAATTGGAAAAATTAAATGCCACTTTGACAGACAAGGATAATATGGAACTGATCTATAAAACAGCTCCTTTGAACAGCAACAACATCAACCCAACAGGAGCCTAGATACTGGCGATTCCTTCTTCTTCATCCTGCTCCATTATGTCACATCGTCTAGTTTGCCTTTCTGCAGTACCGAAATGATTGAAACCATTGTTTGATGCAAAGGGAGTAGTGATGATGAGTCATGGACTTTATGCCACAGCAAAAGCAACAGACGTGGTTCTCAGGCAAATTTCTTTTTTTATTTTGATCGCGCTTCTAATTGGATTCCCCTTTCAGATGTACTTTGCGGCACTTCCAACCCACCCTACAGCTCCAGCAAACTCGGGGCTGAGCCACGGGAACGACGAGCCGCTCTGCCTCCACCTAAGAACTGCAGAAACGCAACCTCCAAGTCCCTTAGCCAAGAGAACCCTACTCCAGCGCCTGCCGCCGGCCTTGCAGGGCGAGCGGAGGCCTTGAGCCCCCTCAGAGCTCCCTGCGCTCCCGGCCCGGCCCGGCCCGGCCCGGCCGAGCTCTGCCGGGCTCGCTGCCCGCCCGCCGGGGCCTGCCCGCCGCAGAGGCACCGCGCAGCTCCGGACGGGGCGAGCGCTGTCCCCGCACGGCCAGAGAGCCGCTCCGCCCGCGCCGCCGCTGCCCCGCCGGGACGGGCACAGCGGGAACAAAGCCGCGGGCACGGCGCGGCCCGGCACGGCTCCGGGGCCGGGCTCCGGCTGCTGCGGGCGGGTGGCTGGGGCGGCGCGGGGCCGGGGGCGCGGCGGTGCCGCAGTGAGGGGGGGTCGGATGCCGTGCGGGGAGGGTGGCCTCTGGGTGAGCCGGGGATCAGGCTCCTCTTCCTCGCTATGACTTTACAGATTCATGTGACATTGAGGTTGGGGAGGTGGGGGAGGGCGGGGAGTGGAGGGAGAGGACCCGGAGGGAAGGGGGAGGGTTGAACTTTCTGCCGGGCTCGGCTTTTCACACCTTTCTCTCCCGATGATGCGTGAGGACGTTTTGAGAGAGAGCGGCTCGGTGGGGTCCCCTCCGACCGGCTCCCCCTCGACCTTGCGGGAACCCGGCCGGGCGGCGAGGGTCTGGGATTGTGCCGGGTTTCAAGGACACGGGAGATGATCAGGACTTTGGGAGCCAACATCTGCCTGGCTGGTGACGTCAGCAACCCCGTGTAATCCTCTTGTACTGAAGGCAGATGCCTTATTTGTTTGGCTGGAGAGGCATTAATCCCTAATTCTGGAGCAGCAAGCGAGGGGGAGAGACCGGACCGCTTCCTATCCCCCGAAAGCAGCTAGAGGGGCTCTCCTCTCCTGCACTCCCAGGCTCCGACTGGGTGGAGGAGCCGCCAGCCCTCGGCAGGTTTGACCATTTCCTTTTTAATTGTGATTCTCTTTCTTGGTATTTGGAGGGGGTTCCTATTTCTTATTTTTATTTGGATGCTTGGATTTCTCCCTATGATTCTTTGCTCTAGTACGGTCCTCAAGACGAAAAAGAAGGAGGAACTGCTGTTCCCCACCCCCTTCACAGTCCCTTAATTTTATTATTTTCTTTTCTTCTTCTTCTTTTTTAATTTTATTTTTTTATATTTGTTAAGCTTTCCCCTGTGCTTGCTTTCCGGGCATTTTTGCAGCGGTGGGCAGGGAGGTTGCTCTCTGCGGTTCCCCGCGGCTGGCCCGTTCCCACCGCGCTGCAGGGACCCAGATGCCCGCTCACCCTAGCGCTGCGGTGATGGGCGTTCCGCCTTGTCCCTCCTCGGCCGCGGATTAAGCAGCCCACAGGCTCGGGTCTGGCCGACCCCAGCTTCGCGTCAGTGCGTGTGGCCCCCCTTCCATTCGCTTCCTCCCCTTCCCCTTTCCCTCCCCGCCCTTCTCCTGCTCTGACTCCCCCCTCTCTCCCTTTTGTCATTGGCAACCGCGCGGCGTGCGGGCTCCCGGCGCCCTTCCCTCCCCGCCTGCCTTTCCTTTCCTCCCCGCCTGCATTCTAACGCTCTTGCTTTGTCTGTTTTCCAGGCGGCCGCACGCAGGAGCTACGGTGCCGAGGGGGGCCGGAGCCGCCTTCCCAGTTTGCCCCTGGATGCCCCGGCAAGCTACGGGAAAAGTCTTTGGGAAGCTCAGCTCGCCGCAGGATCCCGACCGTCGCCGCTGCAAGCGCAGCACATCCCGCTTCGCCTCCTCTCTCTCTCCCGGGCCCTGGCGCCGAGGAAGCAGTCGAGGTCAGCTGCCCGGTTCCTGGGGTCCGGCCGTGCTCGAGTTCGCAGGGTGATACAAGGTGCCCGGCCGCTCCGCTCCTCCCCGGCGCGCCGTCGGCACCGAAAAGGAATGGTCCCGATCCTGGGCCGTGAAAGATGGCAAAAAGCGTAGTAACAATAATAATAATAAAAGCTTAGGCTAATTTTTTTTTTTTCAATTATTGTAATGACTTCACCCGCCAGTTTTCTCACTCGCTAGTTCAGTGTAGGCAAGCCAGATGGGCTGCCCAGACCCTCCCGGGAAAGGGGCAGGTGCGAGTGAGTTAAATTTTTTTCTGCTTTACAAAGAAAGATGACACGTCCTGCCCTTTCACTTCTCATCGCCGAAAGATCCCCTCTTCCTCCCCCCCCACTCCCGCCCTCCCCCTGGCCGAGGGGAGCGGGGATGCTCGGGGGGTGCGGGCTCCCCCCGCCCGTGCTCCAGGGGAGCCGCAGAACCAGGCGGACCGAGGCAGCCGGAAAGACACGGTCATTCCTCTCAGCCAGGGATGCCAAATGACAGACGTCGAATCGGGGAGAGTCAACTCCTGTGTTTAAAATCACGCGAAGACGCTGGTGAAATTAAAGCAGTCGTCTGGAATTGTGCAATAGGCACGCGCTAATATTATCTCTTTTTTTTTTTTTTAATCGATTAAATGCATAATTAACAGCTTCCTGAGCATTGCAAAAAAACAGACTGGCTAGTTAGAAAACTCGAGCATGAGTTATATGCAGCCCGGGCCAGAATGGGACTCGGGCGGAGGGAAATTACCGGGTTTTTTTTTTTTTTTTTCGGGGATCAGTTGCTGTTCTGCTGAGAGAGAGAGAGAGAGAGAGCGAGACAGAGCACTCTAAGGCTCTGACTCTCCGTGTTCACAGCGGACCTTGATTTAATGTCATACAATTAAGGCACGCGGTGAATGCCAAGAGCGGATCCTCAAAGCTTCATCAAAGATCTCGCTAGAGCATACCATAACAATGACGTTAATAACAAAAATAATTGCTACGAGCTTAAAAAAAAAAAGAAAGAAAGAAAGAAAGAAAGAAAGAAAGAAAGAAAGAAAGAAAGAAAGAAAGAAAAAGAAAGAAAAGGAGAGACAAAGCAATAAAGAGCTCGACAACCTATACTCACCTACGGAAACCGAGACTAACTAGGACTGGTGGACTGATTGGCTCAGCCCAGTGGAAAGGAGATGCCGCTGCCACGGGACGGGCGCCCGCGGGGGCAGCTGTCAGCAGAAGGTAACGGGGCCGTGGGGGGCTACTGGAGCGGTGCGGTAGCCGCGGTGTTTTTTCAAGGTAGTGGTGACTCGACCTCTAGCTTTCTTGGGCTGAACAATGTAAAGTCGATTAATGGAAAATAAATACATTTTCTAATATTATCATCGCGAGGATTGTTCTTTGCGCATCGCTCAGCCGGTAGCTAGGAGTGTCCGCTCGGTAGTGGCTCCTCCTCTTGCGGGGCTCCTCTGGAAGCCGAGAACGCGCGCCTTGGGGCAGCGGCGCGGTGCGCGGGGGGCAGCGGAGCAGCGTCTGTGCCGCGGGCCGGCAGAGGCAGAGCCATGTGCAGAGTTGGTGCACGGGGCGGGGGGTGCCCGAGGGGCCGCAGGGGCACTGCAGCAGAGCCATGTGCGGAGAAGCAGCTTGGATGAGCGAAGAGGAATGTGCGGAGGTTGCGACGGAGAGGCGGGGAGGAGGGCGCAGCGTATGGGCACGGTGTGGGGAGAGCGGCGCAGAGCGGTGCCGGCGGGCGGCGGAGCGGCGGGCAGCGGCGGAGCGGCGTGCGGGCTTTGTGCGCTGGCCTGGGCGGCGGGGCGAGGCGCAAGGCAGCGGCTGGCGAACGCGGAGCGTGGGGCGCTGCGGCGGAGGGTGTGCGGGGCAGCTTACACGGGGTAGGGTGGCGGGACGGCGGTGGCGGTGCGCGGTGCGCCGGGGCAGGGGCGTGCGCGGCCGACACACCGGAGACGCGGCTCCGGTGGAGGCGGCGGCCGTGGCCGGGCCAAGCCGGCGGCTGCGGGGAGGGTGCGGGGGCGGGGAGGGGAGAGGCCGGGGTCCCCGCGCCGACGGCGGCGGAAGTCTTTGTTCCGCGGGGCCTCGCCGGCGGTGGAACAAAGGAGCGGCAGCGCTGCTGCCGGCGCTGTCCCTGGTGCTGGCGGAGGCACCGCGTCCCGCCGCGGGCCGCCAGACCGCTCGTCCCCAGTCGGGCAGACGCGCCCCGGTGGCACCGGGTGGGCCTCGCGACGCGACCGTCCCCGGCTGAAGAAAACCCAGCATCCCGACGGGAGTGAGCGGCGAGCAAGGCAGGGGTGCGGGAACGGCAGGAGAGCGGCTCGGCCTGAGCCTCCGCCGATGCGCAGAGCACAGCCGCTGCCCCGACGCAGTCCCCGAGAGGGTTTCCCCCGCGCATCCTTCCTGCCGAATCTCTCCCACTCCCCCTCTGAAACAGCTGGGTTGGAAGCAAGTCCTGCGGGGGTTCTGTCCCGCTCCTACCCCAACTCCGTCCACAGCCATCTGCCGCGGCCTAATTCTACTCTTCATCCATCAAACAGAGGCCACAGCCAGCCAGGGCAGGGGATGTTCTCAAAGGCTAAATAAGACAAAACAACTAAGTAACAGCAGTTACCACAAGAACTGTAATGATAATAACAACACTCTCTGCCTGAAGGTCATAGAGCTTTGTCCTCTTTCTGATTGGTCTCAGCAGACAGCCTGACAGCAGTGGGTTTTTTTTTTACCAAAAACTGGATTGCAGATTGGACTGATCACCCTTCTCTGCAAAGGGATAAAAGGGCAGAATTCCTGTCCTTTCAGCAGCCTGTCGCCTCTTCATCCCCGTGTAATCACCCTTGAGCTGTCCAGCAGAGAGATGAAGCACATGGGCTACTCCATTCTTTCCCTTCTGCTCACTGAGTTGGGGTCGAGTCTTTTGCCTGCTCCCGCCATGCCACACAGCTGCTCTCATTTCTTCTATTGAGATGCCTGTTCACATATACACCTGTACCTGTACACGTATAAGCACATTTCATGCTTTCTATGTAGCTTAAGATTGTCACAATTTCTGTTCATCACTGCTTCTTGCTTATATGTCCTTTGTAAGACCTAGCACATCACAGGATCTCAGGGGAGCCAAGCAGAGAAGAGAGGAAAGTCCAACTTTGCCTTCTCATGTGCAAGCCAGGATGACGCACAGCAGATTGACCCTCACACAGTTAGAGAGCAGGGAAGTATTTTAAATGCCTTGAGTCCTGAGCGACCTGAAGCACTCAGTTAAACTGTTTGCAGGATTACAAACATGAGTTGACCACCCCTGCACTGAGGCATTATTTCCCCACATCTCACTTTTTTTTTTTTTCTTGGATACCAGTGCTAAAGACTTGTTATAAACATTCTATAATTTTGTAGCTAAAGAAACATAAATACCTAAATGAACTTTCTGCCACCAATCCCTCAATGTAGCTTTTAAGGTATTTTGTAATGCCTGAAAGGAAATGGAACTTACTTTGGAATGGGTGGAGCTTTCTTTTGGAAAGCTTCCAGAGACAGGGAACATTTCTGCCTTCTAAACTACAGTAGCAGTAATAGCAGTGGCGATGAAGATGATGCACGATGTAAAAAATGGATGGAATCAAAGTCTGAAGACCCAGGTGACAAACTGTGCCATCTAGAGATGTGAGTTCCCATTCTGATGTCATATTGCTGTCGTAGGCATGTTGAGGTTCTGGTGGTGGCATCTGAAAGAAATCAACATTTAATATTCACCACTTTCCTTCCTGCTCTGAAGACGGAATGCAAACCCTGCTCTCAGCAATTTTTCTTGGGGGTAGCCTCGTTTCCGAGACTACCTCAGTCACAGCTCCCCACAGAGAGGAGTGGTGAACGCTGCCTGCCAGCCTCCCCTTGAGACAGAAGACAGCTCTATCCTCCCTCCTCCCGCATGCTTTTTTTTTTTTTTTTTAATCTATTTTTCCTTTTTCCCTCCTCAAACGACTCCCAGGAGGAATCCCAGGGGAAAAGCCTGTCCCCAGGGCTGTCAGGGCTGCCCCAGGCGGGGCCGGGCGGGCAGCGGGACGGTCCGCCACCTTCTTCTGCTCCTCCTCATCTTCCTCCTCTTCCCCTTCCTCCTCCTCTTCCTCCTCCTCCTCCTCCTCCGCCGCCCCCGCCCGGCCCCTGGCACTGCCGCGCCCCCTGGCGGCCGCGCACGGCGCCGCGCCCAGCGCAGCGCAAATCCAGCGCAATCCCGGAGCGGCGCAAATCCAGCACAATCCCAGTGTGGCGCAAATCCAGCGCAATCCCGGTGTGGCGCAAATCCAGCACAATCCCGGTGTGGCGCAAATCCAGCGCAATCCTGGAGCGGCGCAAATCCAGCGCAATCCCGGTGTGGCACAAATCCAGCGCAATCCCGGTGTGGCGCAAATCCAGCGCAATCCCGGCGCGGCGCAAATCCAGCACAATCCCGGTGTGGCGCAAATCCAGCGCAATCCCGGTGTGGCGCAAATCCAGCGCAATCCCGGAGTGGCGCAAATCCAGCACAATCCCGGTGTGGCGCAAATCCAGCGCAATCCCAGTACAACGCAAATTCAGCGCAATACTGGTGCAGCACTGCCTCCACTGAGGAACCCGGGAAACTTTGAGTATCAACCATCTTGGAACAACGTCCCAAATAAAAAATATCTTCAAAACATCAATTGCACATCATTCTAAGTGTTTCGCGATGTAGATGGTGAGAAGCAATGTTTTCATACCTTCCCGGTGAGAATCAAGGCGATCTGTCTCATTTAAATTCAGAGCTAGAGTATCATCTGTGGCATGAAAATATAAAGGGAAATGAGCTACTACCTGCTTACTGCAGCTGTTGAAGCAGTCTAGGACATCAGTGTCACTCAGGGACAAATTAGAGTAAGAAGCACAGTCAAAGTATTGTCCAGTTTAAGACACAGTGCTTCTCAAAAATTTAAAAGCCTTTAATTATCTTTTGAATTAGAAAGATTAAATACCAACTCTTCATTTTGTTTCACTTGTCCTCCTGTACTCAAGGTGGTGGCTAAGAAAGGTGTGAAGCACAGGTAAGTCAGGCAATAAGCAAAGCAAACCCTCCAGAAGAATAAGCATTGTCCCACTGCCTCCATCCTGCAGAGCTGTGCCAGTAGCAGGATCTTCTCCAGTCCCAGAGGGAAGCAGAGGACAAGTGACCTGCCTGGTGCTTCAAGGTTTGGTGCACGGCAGTGACTGCCACGGGGTGAGAGATTCCATGAGCCAGCCAGCAAAGGTATGACATAAGACTTATTTTCACACTCTGCACAAAATTCCTCACATTTCTTTTTGTGTTACTTAGCTCCTCTGATGCTGATCAATTACCACAATAACTCAGGTGTGAGATAATAGAGATAGTAATTTGCAGTCTAACATGAATTAATTTTCACTTAATCTGGAACTGCTTTAATAGCATGGTGGGCATTAAAAGCACCACGCTACTCAATACTAAATATTTGTGTGTCTGAAGTAGTCATAAGAAAATCTTACTAGGGAAATCCCACAATCAGAAAACAGGAAAGAAATACCAAATCTTAAATACACTGCTAGTATAAAATATTTGAAATTGTAAATTAAGGACAATTTAATTAGCACCAGGAAACTATTAAATTAACAGATCTAATGTTCATGCTAAGGTTGGTTTATAATTTGCCATATTAGAGTAATTCTGTTCATTAAGAGATTAGGACAGGTTGCATGTTAAAATGATATTTACTAAAATACACACTTAATACCTGCACAAAAGTACTTCAAAACGTAATCTAAGATTTTTAACTCCATCATTTACAGGTTTTGCCTGAGTTTTCTGTACAAGGAGGTGAAAAATAAAATACTCGGTACACAGGATTTTACTAGTGTGTATTTGAACTGATCTTAATGCAGCTGATAAAGAAGCTAGTGAGCAAGGCAATGACATTTTTTGCTTAATAATTTAAAGAAAGAATTACAGAATTATCTGCAGCATCTTTACAGTACCTGGAACATGGAAATGACTAACACATGTAGGTCTTCCTGACTTCACAGGGTTATAGCTCAACACTATATCATTTTGCACAATCTGTATAAAATAACTGTGCAGTCCTTTTTGAACCTAAAACTCATACCATATATCATTCCTGTCTCACAAACTACACCTATTAGAGTTATTGAAAGTATTTTTGGACCATTTAGTGATTTATGATTTGATTTACTGTTCTACATCCAGTGTATGAGACATTCAACTGAGAAAACACTTTTTAATGGATGTACGGGTCCCTGTAAAACCTCTCACCTTCACACTGCTGTTTTTCAAACCTAATTAAGAACTTTTTGCTATTTGTTCTTCTTTAGAAAATTTATGTTGTCAATAATATTTATGGATAAAATGAAAAGAGCAGCTGTGACAGCAAATCTAAAGGTACAACCTTTACATTTTTTCCTATGGGCACTTCCAGGCAATTTACAGGCTGGGTAAAGTCCATTAAAAGTCAAGGGCACTACTTTCAAGCTAGAAAAATTGGGATATATCTGGCTTCTATTAAATTGAACAAAAGTATGAAGAAATTATGTAGCTGTCACTAATTAAAGCAATAATCAGTGACATGTTGACCCATTTTAAAGTTTTATAGTTCCTCATCTCTCCTCTGTATAGGATTCTAAAAGCCAACCAGAAGAAATAATTTCCTTGAAAGGAATGCCAAAACCCCAATAGGAAACAGAAAAATCAGTGGGTTTTTCTTTTTGCAATTCTTTTGCTCAATTTCAAACAATTAAAATGTCAGATTCCCCACCTTAGTCAAACTAGTGACACCAGCTATCAGTCACAAGTATTTAAGAAATACATAGAAATCTGTCAGGCAAGACAAAAGAAGCATTAATTTTATCATGGTCAATATAAAATCAAACCAACATATGTGCCCATTCAGAGAGATCTACTGCACTTATATGTTAGCAAGCTTTATTTTAGCAAGGTTAAGTTTTTGTAAGACGTACTCCAAGACCAGGAGCCAGGTTTAAACACACACAATGAAGTGTTGAAGATCACAGGATGCAATACACCTTTGGAAAGCAATCCCATCCTTCCCTGCATGAGGTCTGGATTTAAGCTGCAGCACACGCTGCATTCCCAGCCATGTTTCAGCCCCACAGCTCCACACTGGGATAACAGGAGAGCCCCCACGTGCTCAGCACCCCATCAGGACAGGACAGACACTCTGGGACTGTTGAGCCCCCATGATCTGAAGATTCAAATTACTCACAGGTGACCATGGTCAGTGTTCACACTATACACTTCAGGCAGTCAATTAAATGCATCCTGGGCCTTTTTAATATTATATACACACAAAATAGAGCAATAATCCTGGTTTAAAAGAAGAAACACATTATAATAGCAGAGATATCCCAGAAAAACTTTTCCTTTTCTATGAAAAATGCAGGACTTTTGGAATACTATGTGACTAAAAAAATATATAATAACTTTAAAGACTGGAAATTATAGAAACAGGATTTAATGTCACTTGAGAATGTGGGAGATCACACTCTGGAATTAATGAAACTGTTCCATGTGGTAAATAAAGACGACTAGTGATTGGCGGCAGTAGGAGGAATAGGACTTAGAATATTGTTTTGTTAAATGGTATCTGTATGCCAGATGTGTGGTATTCCCCTGGGGAGGAAAAAAAAGAGCCATTGGGATGCTATCAGAGGAAATTACTTTGTGTTATAACCCCAGGTGTAGGCAAGCCTACACTGGGATTATGTACAGTATGATCAGTTGTGGTCAGGCAAAGGGCTGCCAAGACAGCAAAGAGGGTGAATAATCTCCAGTCATGAGCTGATCACAAGAACTGATTTGTCAGCTCAGCAAAATGTAGTCAGAGGGAAGGTATGACAGCTGTGGCAAACACCAGAGAAGAAACAGCACTAGGATAGGCAAAGAAGTATTTGTATGACTGGGATGTTAGCACTAATGTTATCTTGAAAAAAGACATCAGCACTAACATAGGCATAAAGGAATGTAAATTAATAAATAGCCTTTTCATCAGCTGGTGGAGGACAGGAGAAAAATTATTTCAAGACTGAGTAACTGAATTAAATTACTAGGAAGAGTATACTCATTGTTTTCTCTAACACGTCAAAATCTAAAGAAAAGAAAGAAAAAGAAAGAAAGAAAGAAAGAAAAAAGAAAAATAGAAGAGATCTTAGCCTGGATCAAGAAAAAATATTTAATGTATATTTCAGAGCCCAGAATCTAGTACAGTTGTAAAAAAAATATTGTTTTGAAAGAAATGAGAAAAGAGAGAAAGAATGAGAGCAATAGACAAAGATGAAGAGACAGAGAAAAAAGGCAAATCAAAGAGAAATAGGAAGAAAGTGAGAAAAGGAAAGAAAGATAAGTATTTTCAGATAAAAGAAAATGTTCACAACAAGGTTTTTAAATTAATTTATTCAAGGGGGTTTTGTATTTGGGTAATTTAACAAAACGTACAATTTCACTGCTTGGTTTCAATAATCAGCTTTTCTTTCTTACAAAGAGTGTTTAGAAATCCTAACAAATAACTCTGTTCTTCTTTAAAGCATTCTTTATGTCATTATGCGAAACTTGCACAATAAGATAGAGTTCAATACATCAATAACCATAAGCTTACAGGAACAGAAAATCCAGGTATGTTATGGCATTTTTAACATTGCTGGAAATAAATTCTCCAAATTAAGGGATTCTACAAATTTTTATTAAGTTTTTACTAATTTTTATGATTTTAAGCACAGAGATAATGAAAATGTTTCTAGATTTTGTGGTTTGACAGAAGAACATATAGTGAGGTTTATGCTATACTAACTGCAAGTGCTCAAAGAATGGCAGGTCCTGGATATTTATGATTAAAGAGACATCAGAGCTCAGATACAGTGCTTTTTCTGCGTGGTGGTACGCACACAGATATATATAGATTAAAAAATATAGATAAATAAATGCTCCCCAGATATCAACCACATTAACATTAATGCATTTTCAAACCATTAGCAGTCCATAAAGCTATGTTACATCATGTTATAAATTTCAGCAATATATACATTTCATGCAATTTCTTTTTTATTATTTTCTCTCACTTTTGGAGACAAAGAACGCATGGGAGAAAAGCCACCTAAAGACACAAAAGTTTGAGGAAATCCTAAATACAGAGGTTAGAACTGAAAATGTGACTGTTTTTACCATTTCAAACTACAAACACTGCTACCTTTTCAGATACAGCACAGAGGTCTGCAAGATGAAG